CTAGCCTGCCCTGCCTAGCCTTGCCCTGCCCTAGGCCTCCCTGGCGGGGAGGGGCACTCACCTGCGCTCATCCTGCGCGCTGGGGATGAAGCGGACGCACGTGCGGCGCTGGAAGTGCGCGTCGATCCAGGTGACGGCGCGCTGCAACACCACAGAGCGTCCATTAGGGCACAGCGCACTTGGCGGCGCTCGCCAGCAAGCGCCATGGATAATACACAACACTTGGGCCATTACACGGGAATTGTTGCCGTGACATACTCTTCTAGTAATTACTCCAGAGCAATTGTTCAATTTAAGTATTATATTTCCTCTGCAATGCATCGTTTCAGAAATTACAGTATCAACATTAACCGTACGTAAAGTTCTCCTCTCTCAACTTATTGAACAACTTAATAAAAGTAATTTTTTTATTGTAGTAGTTTTATTATTCTATTATTTCTATATTTTAATTCATTCTATGCATTGTTTTTATTATTATATATGCGTTTTTTACAGAATATACGCCAGGAATTTACGTCGTTCATAGTGAATTATCAATTAATCAATATATAGTTAAAATCGAAAGTGTTAATGAAAATAGAAATTGTGCAAACAAACTGAAGCATTTGCGAGAAAATCTCTTTTACGTATTTTTAGAAAATTGTTAAGGTTTGACAAAAAATTAAACGAAATCAACCAACATTTTGAAAGAAGTAATTCACATGGCATCCCTTATATCATAAATTCTTCGCTATCCCTTATTTCTCCAATTTCGAAGGAAACGTTTCATTACGAAAGAGCTTAATTAATCAAGAAGTCTGAAAATGTGTAACTTTCGTACATTCAGAGGTATTAATAAATACAAAGGTATTAAATCGCATTAGCTTTAGGTTAAGAGTATCTCTCTATTTGAGACAAAATTAAGAAATATAATTTCCAGCCAGGTTTAGAACATTTTGAAAATTCCCCTCTTGGATGCATGTAAAGTGTCCCAAAATATTAAAGATCAGCTTTAAATTCGTAGGGTATAGATCGATCAATTTTTTTTATTTAGTGTTATAAGTCCAAAAATATATTTTTCCGTGACCTTTTCTGGTGTTTTCGTGCAGAAAAAGTACGGGCATTTTAGGTGCAATGCGAAGGGCTATCTCTTAAATACTATCCAAAAACAATTTTGCCAAAACCAAGATTTCACGTTGGTTATAAAAGGAATAGAGGAAATATTAATATTAATGAATTGAAAACAAAGATTTTGAAGAATATGATTTTTTAGCAACGTTGTTTAATCAATTTTGTTGCCTGGTCCTATTCAACAGCCAAATATTTTTTTTAAATTTTGCCCTTATTTTGATGATGTGGAAAACACAAAGAAAACGTTATTTTTGTAGTGAATACATTAAATTATGAGCACAATATATGTAAATTATGCATATATACATAAATAGCATGCATATAAAACATACATTTAAGTATACGTATTTATATGCGTAATGAAATTTGTTCTCAAAAATTATACATTAAGTGAAAATACCAACAACAGAAATCCGTGATCGTGATGCATTGGAAGGGCTATCAAAACCATTACGATTCAACGTTATTCCCGTTATGCATTTCAAAATGAAATGCGATGACGTGGTTTAAAAAGTTCCAACCGACCGGGAGTCCAAAAACATAAATTTTTCCAAATCTGTTTTTTTTCACGAGTTATCCCATGTGTCAAGTCCGTACAAAAATAATTTAAAAAATCTGCCTCGTCTCTCGGGAGAGACCGCGCCACGGCTCCGTGGTTTGGCGCCCCACCACCACCAGCGCCACTGTTCCTGCAGAAGGCTTTTGTACACTTTTACCAGATTTTGATTAAACTTTTTTCCCCTAGTTATATACGGGATCCCAGAAGTTATGAAAAAGTGTACATAATACACCTCTCCACACAGAACCACAGTTTTAACTGTTTTTGATAAACGAATAAATTCACGATCACTCTATTAGCATTTACTCATCTCCCCATTGCTCACTCATATCATTTAAATCTTGCAGAAGTAGGGTCACAGATTCTGGATCACGGCAATTACTGCAACGGCTCGCTGTGCAAATTGCCGCCAACCGGCAGCTAGTTTTAACTCTTTTTTTTTGTTTACAGTAAATCCATCGAATGGTTGATTTATTGTTTTGTGATTTCCGGTACGTCAACTACCAGGGTCATTAGCCTCGTAAGTGTAATATATGTTTTCTGCTAGGGAGCTGGCGGTAATTCCCCCCCCCCCGCTGTATGGCGAGATCCGGCGCCGACCTATTGTCGGCAAGCCGGGTTTTCTCCAACCAGGTATCTCCCACCAGCGGGGCACCGCTCCAACTGAGACAAGGTCTAAGCTCTCGACGGGTCACCCGGAATGTGTGGTAGTGTAGTGCAAGCTAGTGTAAGAGTGTGTGTAAGGGGTGAGGATAAGACAAGGGAGAGGAAAGAAAGATCTCGCGCGGTTGGTGGCCCGTTTGTGGGTACTGCTCAGGCATTCGTTTGGTGTTGATCGGAGAAACCACGCAAAACTACCGATCAGAGCAGCCGGCCGCAAGAATTCTCCTCTAGACGGCGAACGAACTCGACCTAGCTACAAGCTAGTGTCGAAAATCCTGTCACCTTCGAGATTAGGACCTCCCGGTCAGAGAGACTGCAGTGGTAAATCCATCGAGAAAGTTCCTAAATATTCAATATCAAACGCAAGTCACACACCTAACCGTCTTGCATGCGGGCAAACCCAAACCCGTCTTCTCTAAACAAGGCACGCGCAAATCCATCTCACAAAAATGTCTACAGAACACATTACGTTCGATCGCCGTCTCTGCGTTAACCAGTTGCGTCGGGAGGCGAACAAATCCGTCTCACGGCAGTTTAGCGTGAGTTAGTCGCCCTCGCCCCCCCCCCCCCAACACAGTCGTAAATCGCACTTTGAATTAACCCGCGTATTAATTTTTCAACTTAATCGACGCTCTGGATTTTGCAAGAGACCGTCTTCACAGCCAAACAGCCTCCAGTTTCGTGTCCGCACAGTTTACGAACTCTGTCAGTCTCTGCATCATAACAGCATATATCAATATATTCGCTTCGCCCCGAGCAATCCTATGTCAGGTCATTGCATCAATGAAGTCGTACGTCAATCGGTGGCCAACAGCTAAAATACTACAAACGGGCGAACGCGATCTCAAATTGCACGTGAATTAGTGAAAGCAACAACGAACAATTAGCAGTGCGTGACAGACCATCAACTGACTGCGAATCAACAACGTCCATCAATCTATACCGACTAATCCACGGTGCCACTTGACAGCACGCGAGTAACACTCCAATTTTTTGAAACGTTGTTTTATCATTCAACTGTTTGTTCTTAAAAGGTTGGGAAGAGATTCTGGATCCCAAGAAAACGTACGCAGAGGGTTTTTTCTGCCACATACGTCACGTAAGTTGTGTTCTTTGACTAAATAAATCGGACCAAAAATCAATTTCTGCTACCAAAGCAAGTTCACCCGCCCGAGCTGCTTCTTTACTTTATTTTGCCCGATCAGTGGATAAGCCACTATACAGGTCGGCAATAGGAAGGGTTACAAACAATAAAACAAGTTTCATAACATTAACACCAAAAGCATCGAGGTGAAAATACTTGTACTCAACATAACCCATTTTTATATGCGATAAGGAAATCTCCACGGGAAACCTGATTTATACGAATTTTTAGGCTTAGAGCGCATGCTTCCCGGATCTGACTCCTCTTCACCCAGGGAATCGAACAATCGCGCAAAACATGCAATGGAAAAAAATCTTCTGCCAGTTAACTACGTGGTAGCGCCGGCAAGGTCGCTACATTAAAAGCGTTCAATGCGAGGTTAAGTGCATCCAATTTAAAGTGTTGAAATCACGGCAAAGCACTCGCGTCTTGAAAACAATACTGACATTAAAATAATCACAGTCAATATCATTTCTTATTTCAAGGTTTATTAAATTATTTTTCGACCGCCTTCTACAAATACTAATTATTTTACATTAGGTTTTTGCTCTTTCGTTTAATCACATATAATTTATGAAACATTAAAAGCACAGAATGTCAACAGCAGTTCACAATACTCACAATTTATAAAAAAACACATGGCCGAAAAACTGATACATAGTGGCGGAAATTAATATATTCTTATCTCGAGGCAGAGTTGCAGTAAATTACACCAAACACGCTTTTTGAAGGATTCTTTTAAATAACAAAAATACTACTTTCTGTGCACGGATTACGAAATCACTCGCATCCGTTTCGTTTCTTCGTATCGTGTTCAGGGTCTAGCACTGAAATGTTGCCAACACAATGCGAGAAATACCGACAGACGGGAGGCAGCGATCACACATCAGTAGGACATCCGCACACTGGACGGCTGTTAATCGTTGGGTGCTAGTCTAACGATTTTTGAGAGCACAGCTATCTCACGCAAGCTCTAAGAGGAGTGCGAGGGAAAGGAAGGTAGGGAGGACGGAATTGAAGATTAGGGGTGATTAGAGACAGAAATGTAAGATGCATGTGTTGAAATGTGTGATTTTTTCTAAAAAAGTAATTTTTATTTTTTAATTAATCAGTTGAGAATTTTGTTAAGATTGAATTATAAGAAAGTGTAAAAAAATTATTATATTTAGGGCCTGAAAGTGTTTTTTCACTGTTTTTTGTGAAATCTCACTAGAATTAATCAAGGAAAATATTGATATTCTTTATTTAAAATTGTTGTTTTTAAAGTTGATGTCATAACGTTTTGTTACCCATGATCTTTTAAAGTTACATTAGTCCGTATGCTCCTTAATGTTCCTTTCGTGCTCTGATAAAAGCGTTTTAACCATTATCTTAGTTCGACTTACGTAAGATACTGAATGACAATCTTTGCAATTGCTTTTATGAACCTTTATGTTAGGTAATTCATCCTTTAGTAAGGGACCTCTAAAGTGTTCAACTATTGAACTCTGACTACTCTATTTATCTCTCAACGGTTTAACTTTGATTGAAACACTTCCTTTAATGCTGCATTTATTGATGAAAAGAAAGGCAAGCAAACTAACTTCGTCGTAAAATTTTATCAAACGGACTTACATTACTTTCATTTACAGATGAATTCCATCGCACTCGTGATATTACTTTTGATAACATTTCCGAGAGCAACATTACAGAATTTTTAAACCTTTCCGTTGCCCCAGCTCTCAATGACCGACATAGATGGCTCACGGCATCACT